CGAAACCCGTGTTAATGACATTGAATACCTGTATTTGCATCATGAAACGATACAGGCTAAATAGCTCAGTACATGGAATGTATGAGCATGTAAGGGGAATTCTAAAGCATAAACATAAGCTTGAACTGATGGAAAAGAAACATACTTACCTCTTCTCAACTCACTCAACTCAACTCAACTCAACTCAATGAAACATAGTTCAACTCAACTTAGAGAAAGTAAGGCTCAACTGAATAATAAGATACTCAGCTCTGGATAAAGCAACAAGAAAATGGTGCTTAATACTACTCCTAAAATATACTAGCTCATATGTTTTTAAAAACATATCTCTTTCTCTGTTTTGAGAATATTACTCAAAATCTTTCTCTTAAAAGAGATGGTATTCAAAACTGCTCATGAACACTTTTTTTGAAAATGGTGTTTCCTTTTTTCTTAAATGTAAAAACATTTACTCTTGGGAATACTTAGTTCCCATATATCATTTTAGAGAAAATGAACTCAGCTCTACTCTTCCTCTAACTCATATGTTCAAGTCTTAAAATAATTTTTAAAAAGGTTTGCAAAAGATTTCTCAAAATAGGGTTCATGCAGAATTATGGGCATGAACTACTCAACTGAAAGACCTTCATGGGTAGCATATGTAGTAGTCCCATGACTAGGAATATAATCTCAAAAGGATTAGGAACTCAATACTAAAGACTTAGAACTTGAAGATACTACTCCTCTCAAAGATACTCAATTTATGGAGTTCATGCGGAATTTACGGGCATGAACGATTCAACTCAAGGGTCTACATAACAATATGGAACTCATGTAGACAACTATTCTCATTTTCATACTTACTTCCTCAAAACGTAGCTCCAATCGATAATTGATCTCAAAGGATTCACAATTAAACTTGAAGACTTTCTTGAAATCTACTCTTAACTCTTTCTTGAATTTGAATTCTGAATTCAAGAGTTATGATTCATTATATGAAGGATCTCGATGATAGTGTAGACTCATGAATACATTATCCTCACTCTCATGCTCACTTACTTGAGTCTCAAAAAGTTATTAGAAGTTGTAGAAGACTCCTCAAAAGCCTCGAAAGAACTCTCAAGACTTGACTCTTAACTCTATTCTTAACTCGTCCTTGAATTAGAATTATGAATTCAAGGATCATGACTTGATATAAAGGATTTCTTGATATGTAGGTTGGATTGAAAAAATCACTAACTTTGATCTCAAGAATTCCTCAAAACCACAACAAAACAAGATTTAGATTGAAACTTCAAGAACACTTATCAAGAACTCATCAAGAACTCAAATTGCTCAATATTTATGGATAGATTCATAAAAGAAACTCATGATTGGCATGTGGGTGAACAAACCCAACACTATGGAAGCTTACATACCTCAAAGAACTAGGTTCTTGGCGATATCTTGAATTTCTTGAACGAACGCTTGAAACTTTAAACTTTTTCTCCTCTTGAATCTTCTCTCTAAAACTCTAAATGCTTTAGGGGATGAATGAAACTGATTCTAACCAGTTTAGACCCTTAATTGGGTGTAATTCGCGTTTAAAATACGAGTGGGGTAAGGAAAAGACTAAAATACCCCTCCTATTTTCGTGTAACTTTCCTTAAATGGACAGTTGAATTAAAAAGAACATATCTCCCTCATACGAGCTTGAAAATTAGCAAACTCAGTGGCGTTGGAAAGAGGAATCAGTGATATTCCATTTAATATCTTATGGGTCTCCTAACTCATTCTATGCTAAAAGTTATGGTCGTTTGAAGTTGACCCAAAACTTAAAAGAACTTAGGATTGACTTGAATGAACTCTGTTATAAAACCTTAAGTGTGTTTGGATTTATGAAAACTAACCCAAATCAGATTTGTCCACAAAATATTAGTAAAATTCGTGTTAAGCTGATTGGGTAAGGAAAAGACTAAAATACCCCTCATATTTTGGGTATCTTTCCTTAATTTGACAGACGACTTCAAACCGGAATATCTCCCTCATACAAGCTCAAAAATTAGCAAACTCGGTGGTGTTGGAAAGAGGACTCAGAGATCTTTCTTTTGATGTCTTATGGGTCTCCTAACTCATCCTATGCTAAAAGTTATGGTCGTTTTAAGTTGACCCAAAACTTAAAAGAACCTAGGAATGACTTGAAGGAATTCTCTTTAGTTATTTTTGGAACTCAAGGTGCTTAATCTAGTGACCTTAAAACTTAAGAAAATCCTCGGTAAAATCTTACTCACAATGAAGAATGGTTCGATTGTTAACTCAAAAATTTTTCGGGGCTGCTGCCTGGCACCACTCAGTGCGCTAGGGTCGCCTGCCCCCGTCCTGCTTTCATCATTTGACATGCCTGAGTTCCTTTAAGGTGTACCTTTACTCATTTCTTATTCGAACTACTCTAAACTACATCTAATCATTGGGAGATCCTTCATAAAATGAATTATAACCCTTGAATTCATAATTCAAATTCAAGGAAGAGTTAAGCGTAATGTCTTGAGAGTTCTTTCGAGTCATTTTGAGAAGTGTTTTACAATCTTTTAAAACTTGTTTTAAGACTTGAGTTCTTGATTTTGAGGATGAGGAGAGTTGAATTTCATTTTTCAAAATGAATATATGGGAACGAAGTATTCCCAAGAGTAAATGCTTTTACATTTAAAATGAGGGGAAGCAACGATTCAAAATGAGCTTAGAAGGATAATTTGAGTATAATCTCTTTTAAGAGAAACTTTTGAGTAATAATCTGAAAGCTTGAGGATGAGGAAATTTTTTTAAACATATGAGCTTAGTACATTTTTGGAAGTAGTATTGAGCACCGATATGGGGACGAGTTCATACAACTCAGAGTTCTCATAAACCATGTAGCCAATGTGGGTAGAAAGGGTCAAACTTTTTAAGCACAACTTAATGGATCCACTTAGTTGAAGATTTCATATACCCTAGCAAGGTATAAGACAGTTCTGGCAGCGTGGGTGAAACATTGTATCATCACATAGCTCATAGTGATGGTTGTCGGTTAGAGAATCTCCCAAATTGAGTTATTTTGTATCTTTACATACAAACTGAGTTATTATTGTATTTTTAAATACATTGAGTTGTTATCTACTATTTTAAATGCTTTATATAAACTGCATCTTTATTGTTGTTTTTATACTGCATTGAGTTGAGTAACCATGAGTCGAGGTTGAGTTGAGAAGAGTTGAAGTGAGTATGTTTCCTTCTTTCCAAGTTCAAGATTTCTTGTTATGTTTAGTGTTTTCCCTTAAATGCTCGTACATTCAATGTACTGATGCCATTTGGCCTGCATCGTTTCATGATGCAGATACAAGATGGTCTCTTTTCGATTGCTTTACAAAGGGGAACAAAAAGAAAAGCCCTAGGATGAGTCATCGAATTTCTTAGCCTAGAGAAAGCTATCAGAAAGCAAGCCAATGAGCTAATGATGACTAGCCTTTGATTGAAGGCAAGGTCATCAACCTGTGGTTTGTTGATACCATAGCAGTTTGAGTTAGCTTTGGTGAGCCTCCTTGCTTCTGGAGGATCCCTTATTTATTTCTATTATTTCAGTTTTATTAGGATGATCAGGGGTCTTGTCCCGATATCCCTTATAGAATTATAGGCTTCATAGATAGACATTATTATTTAAGGAGTCTTTCTTTCATTTCCCTTGTTAATGTTTTAAAGACTGTGAGTTGAACACTTATGTTCATTTGAGTATTTTGAGTTAACTACTTTACTTGTGAGTTGAGTTGTTAGTGTGATTCTATTTCACTTTAGTAAGTCTTCTGCTAAAAGTTGAGCCAGGCCAAGGGTTCACTTGGGCAAGCAATGGTTCTCGAGTGTCGGCCACGTCCAGGGTGTAGGCTCAGGGTGTGACAACTGTGATCGAAATCTCAGAGACAAATACATTCCTAATTAATGTTTATAAGGGATGTGTAAATAGCAAATTCGACTAATATTTTGAAGCGGAGAAAGTATTATTTTTCATACTTCCAATAAATAATCAAAATGCAAGACATAATTTAGTAACTCCCTTTTGTTTATTGATGTTCAACTACATGTACATTCACTTCAATTTTCTTTTTACATTTTGCAAATATTTATAGATTAATTAATTGTACTTCTAATTAAAAGCCACTAACCATGCCATTACCTATCTACTGTGATTTTTTTTATAGTATCTCAAATATTAATTAATACAACATTCTAAGTAATATTTTAGCATTTTCATGGCGAGCATTTAGCCTCACAAAACAAAGGCCACGAAAGCAAGGTAAGATACATTCTTCTCGAAATTTATGTTGCTTGAACTTTTCAAAAAATACTAATAAGCTTGCTTGTCAGATACTTTAAAAATAAATTATTTTTAGAGAACTTCATACGAGTTACATAGTATTACATTTTTTTAAACCATGCATATATATTTTAAGCTAACAACGAAAGTCATAATAATGACTAGTGCTCCCTTCGATATTTTTTGTGGTGCATTCGTCCCAAAAACTCTTACTTTTTTTTGGTGGCTACATGAGACGCCAAAAAAAGTCGTCACTTAAAATTTTATTTCTTGTTGTGGTTGTTAAAAGTGGAGCTAACTATTGGAAGGAATTTAATTGAATCTCTTTAGTTGCGATATTTATTGAGTAAATAAGATAAAATAGTTCTGTATATGTACACATTGTTAAATTCCCTTAACATTTAGGGAAGTTTTAGTGTCATAGTAAAAGTGATTTAAAAATTATTTTATGCCTCAATTCAAATTTCAAGTCAAACATTGTTTTTTGAATTCTCTCATTAGAAGTAATAGAATTTTTAGTTGTGCTACTAATCGAAGTTATGCTATTTTTTTGTGCAGTGCTTACAGTAGATACTACAAAGATTGCTTAGGGAGTTCTAGTACAAACTTCCTCAGCAAGGAAGCTTCCCTACAATATATCCATTATTACCCAATTTACCTAACTTCAATGGTGAATTCAACCAAATAATAGGAGATCTCGATGGCGGCGGTGGCGGTGGTGGTGGAGGTAGTGATGGGGGATTTTGTGATGGCTTTTGATTTGTCGAGGGTCATGGATTGGGGGAAAATGAAAGATTTGGCCAAATTGTAGGTGGCCTAATTGGTGGTGGTGGTGAAGGAGGAGGAGGTAGTGATGGTGGATGTAGTTTTGGAATCAGATATGGCGAGGTCACGACTTTGGTGCAAATGGTGGTGGAGGCGGCGGTAGTGGTGGTGGTGAAGGAGGAGGTAGTGATGGAGGATCTTGTTTTGGCATTGGATATGGTGAGGGTCATGGATGGGGAGAAAACAACGGTGGTGGTGGTCAAACTGGTGGTAGTAGTTTGGTGCCAGAGGAGTATAGGGCCATGGTGGTGGCGGCAATTGATTCCACCATGCCACGACCCAACCCACCGAGCCGTGCAGGCACCTACTCTAACACCTAACTAGGAGAATTGTCAATTTCCAAATAGTTTTAAAACATGTGGAAGATTAAGAAAACTAAAAATATAAGAAATTTATGTAGATTTTATAAATAAAGAGTTTTGAAAAATTCCAAGTTAACTTGTAAAGTAATTAACTTCCCCAGGAATCTAGTCTAAACATGTAGAAAAACTACTAAGATGACAAGGTATACATAACTAACGCTTGACACAACTCCCACACATGGAAAGAAACGTAGAAGTTGTTCAAGATTATCTTCGTCTTCACCTATGAGACATCACCGACCCTACATCCAGACTATTCCAAAAGGCATAACTAGAGTAGTATCAGTACAAAACCACACGTACTGATAGGCATCATCGGTCAACCCAATAACCACCACATAATAAAAGAAATCGACTAGTAAGAAACATGCAATAAGACTGTTCATTCATCCACCTTTGGATTTCACTTCCCTTACTATTTCCAGATATTTTAAACTTATACTAGTACATTGGGCTCTAACCCCTTACTCGCTCCGTTCTTGATCATGATTTAACCATTCTACCTTTTAGCGGAGGTTCTAGATATGACCACTACCAATTCAGTCAACCACTCATGACATGCCCTTACATCTTCCACATCACAACTCAACCCTGACTCCATAGCACATTCTATCATTGCATGTTAACCTTTCCCTACTAATCCCTTCCCAGGGTAATACTTTAACCATTAACATTTTACGACATAACACCCCCCAATTCTCAACAACAATTTGCATGACCACCTCTCTAAAGTAACACCTATTAACACCAGGAACCTTGGTCCCCACTTACCGTACCACATCCAGATTTGGGCCTAACAATTCAGAGTTCATTAATTTACGAGATATACCCAATTACCTTGTGGTACCAACCTCCACACACACATATATATTTTTTATATATATATGTAATCAGATTATCATTCCAGGAACAATGCTCAATTCCACACTCTCAATAACATGTATATACAACAAGTCAATGGTCCTATCATGGAACCCATACCTAAACTGTTAGTTTGTCGGAACGTGACACCCGATCCAATGCAATGTTAGTGTATCGGTACGTGATACGTGATCCCATATATGTATGTGTGTCGGTACGTGACATCCAATCCAATGCAGTGTTAGTGTGTCGGTATGTAACACCCGATCCAATTAGCACAACCACAAGCACAATAACACCCATAACTAACATACTGATAATCACACAATCAAGTATTAGGTTCATGGCATGTAATTGTACATATTTAGTCTTTTCCATAGGTTCGATTCATAATTCTTTAATCCCTTACATACATGCACGTAACAAATTCATTAACAGGTTTATATCACACAAACATGAATCAACCATCCCTAACCCTAGTTTATGGAATATGGTTTCTTTCCACGGTATACGTCTGATGTAACATCTAAGAAACATGTACAATCATCTCTTTCTCGGTGCACGAAGCCTACACATGAATTCTACCGTCAATTACCACTATACTACGCAGTGAATTACGGGTTTATAACTACACTATTAAATATACTTAGCCTACCTGGCGTCAAGCATTTGCAGAGGGATTGTAGATCAAACTATGGTTTCCAGACGATGAGACAGTGGATTTGACCGGAAATCCACAATCTATCAACCTCCTTACACTAGACATATCTTTATCCTTCCTTCCTAAGCTTAAAGTAGCTTTTTGAGGTTTTCTAAGGTGATCCACGCCTCTTTTTGGTGTTTTAGGAAAAATGAGTAAATAAGACTTCACGTTATTTACATTCTGTCTCGCCCATCCCGCTCTGGCGCCACTTATCTCGCTAGAGCGCTACCGCCCTAGCGGAATTAGGCCCGCTTTGACGGGCCGAGAGGCACTGTTCTCTTTACGTTTATACTTTCCTAATTAATGACGGTTTGGTTCGTTACAACAGATACCAATGTACCCCTTGTTCGTCGGTGAATGACTAGAGAAGGGATAAAGTTGCACCCTTCTCGGAGAACTTCTAGTTTAACGAATCGAGCCATTACAAAACCATGAAATATGGTGGTTTTTCATTTCTTAAGCATAAAAGGTTCCATACTTGAAGGAATGGTTAGGGAAATTAGGCAACACACGAAGAAAATGATGTGTCAAATTTTATCGGCCTGATCCTGCCAGAGTGGCAGGTTTCCACTGAAGCGGGGCCGCTGAGGTGGGACATCTCCCACCGTAGCAGGAGATCGCAAGCAATATAGTGGAGGGAAAGGGAAAGAATTTCCCATTTCATTCTTTCTCACTCAAAACTTCTCAAAAACTCTCTCAAACACTTCTCTTCGGTCATGAAAATCAAGGTAATGTTCTTGCTCCTCATTGTAATTACTTCATTACTTACTTAACTACGATTACATGACTATAATTGATTGAATAAGAATGGTTTTTTGGTAGTTTTTTAAAATGAACATAGGTTTCTTGATTTGTTAGAAAACCGTAGCATGGACACTCCCTTTATGTCCCGAACGTCTCCACAACGTTATGGGCTTAAGGATTTCGTGAAAATATTGTCAAAATGGTTTTAAAATGGATGGGGGGAAGTTGGATAGTTTCTTGGTGTAAAACTCAGATTCGGACATCATTTAGGGGTTATATTGCAAAAATAATTGCATATTAAGGTACTGGGTACTTTATAGACTCTGATTTGCTGAAATTCTATTGAAAACGAGAGTTTTGGGACGAAGAGGCGTCATGATCGCGCCTGGAGTTCATCCCAGATGAAGGTCACTTTGGTGGCCTTCATCCTACTATGACGGCCTCCCTTATCCTGCTATGGCGGGATTTGGGCCACTGTGGCGGGACGTTGTGGGGCAGTGGCCCCTTGCCACTTAAATTAGAAAATTTCCTTTTCCTATCCAACATTGTTTAATCCCACGGATTTCTAATGTGTATGTTTTCCAAATTTTTGCAGGCTTATCTAAATGGCTGGTCTTCACGAGGAAAATCAACCCTTCGTTCGATTCCCCGATAGTGCTAGTCGAGAAAGGCCTCACGACTATAGGAATAACAAATTTTGCTGTCAGAGGGGCTTCTATTTACTTGACCTAGAGTGGAAAGCGCGTGCCTTATATTCTTGTCTTATAGAGTTTGTCAGGGTCTCACTGACCGAAACTCCCCCTGTTGTGCGTTCTACATGGGTGAGGGAGTTCTATGCCATCCTACCCACCGTCCGCTGGGATGACACTCACCCTACCATCCGCATCCGGGGGGTTGACATCCCCCTAATGCTTCCTACATAAATGATGTGCTCGAGGTGCCAGAGGTCCCTAACACCGAGTACAAGGACAAGCTGAGGGAGATGAATTTGGGCTGTCTAAAGGATACACTTATTGAGCCTGCGCATCGAAACCAGGTCTATTGGGCCACTACAGAGGGCATCACCAGTGCTAACTGGTCACCGAATGTTAAGAGGTCGCTACACATGGTTACCATGAGGATTCGCCCATTGGGCAACTGCACCGACGTGAAATTTCCTCTGGGTTTGGTCATGGCGTGTGCCATACATGGCATTGGACTCAATGTGGGAGCACATATCATCTCTGATTTGAAGGTGTTCTACCGGGGCAACAACAAGGCATTTTTCCTTCCTAGGCTGGTGACTGTAATGTGCAAGAGGGAGGGGGTGCCACTCTTGGACACTGAGGAGGTATTTCCTATAGATCACCCCTTTCACCCTCTTTTAGTTACGCAAGACTCTACTTCTAAGATCAAGAGGAGGAGGACGGACATGGCTAGCAGTAGTCAGGTGGCTGTGGAGGCGTATGATGAGGGATGTGAAGATGGTGCAGGCGACGACACTCTTCCCACCTAGTTCCAGCCCCCACTATCAGGTGCACAGGTGGTGAAGGACCTACCGACCATCCGGAGGAGGTTGGGACGTTCCTTTTCTAGCACCCTCTGGTTCCACCCAACACTGCTATGGAGGTTGAGATGCTCTACCGTGAGATGCGCCAGGAGAGGAGGAAGGGTCTGGAGAGGGATTGTGTTGGGATAAGCATTGTTTTGATAAATGACGAAATGCATGGAACACGTTGGCAAAGTCATCTCAGGAGAAACTGTTTCAAGGAGGACTTCTATTTTATAGAAGAGTTTCATTACAAGAAGAACTCTAAATAAGATAGAATTATGGAACAAAAGAATAGTTACTGAAGGAGTACAAGACTTCAAGAAAGCAAAAACATAAATAGGAGAAGAGGCGTCCATTATATTCACGCAGTCATAGAGCAAAACAATTGAGAGATTGATTTCCAAAGTGCTGCTGATCAAAGAATACTGAAGAATAGATCTAGGAAGTATTCTTAGTATTTGTGATTTTTATATTTTCTAGATCAGTAATTTATAAACTGATATTAGGATTTTAGTCTTCAAGTTGAGGGCAACTCGAAGACACTGGGAACACATACCTTGGAGGTTTGTGGTAGAATTGAGATTAAGTAGTTGATCTTTAGGTTAGATAAACTATAGGCAACTTGGTTAATCTAAGTAAAGTTTAGTAAACGTAAAACAATCTAGGTCATATGGAATATTAATTGGTACCAGAGCAGGTTATATTATACAGAGTAACACCTAAGATAAAAGATCGAGATGAATTCTGCACCACCTATTGGTCACAGCGAAGGACAATCAACTGTCAGAACCCTAATGTTCAATGGGTCTCACTTTGGCTGGTGGAAAGCACGCATGGCTGACTTCATTCAAGCGGATGATTACAAAATGTGGGATAGGATAACTATGGGACCTACTATTCCTATGAAGACTATTGAAGGAGTTCAAGTACCAAAGGTTAGGATTGACTTCACTGCGGAAGGTTTAACAGCTCTCATGAAAAACACTAAGACCAAAAACATTCTTGTTTGTGGTCTTGGACCAGATGAGTACAACATAATTTCTAACTGTACTACTGCAAAACAAATTTGGGATGCACTAGTAAATGCTCATGAAGGAACAAGTCAGGTGAGGAAATTCA